CTGCCACCAGAGACTGGAACTGTGCCGGCCTGGAGAGAGCTGAGACCACCGTGCCACATGTGGCAGTTCTACCTTATCCTTCTACCCTGACCATATTTCTGAGGGCCCAAAGCTTGGGCTGAGCTGAGACCCTGCATGGCCTGGGACAGGGGTGTGAGTGGTGAAACCACACCTGGTGCATTGCAGAGAACTAAAGCTGTCAGAGCCCCTGCAGCTACAGAGACAACATCCAAAAGCTGCAGAGACAGAGAAAAAACAGGCAGAAACTCCTCTTCCCCCACAGAAAGACCAGCTCAGTCCGAAAAGGAAGTTTTCAGTGGTATCTTTTCTCTGCTTCTAAGAAATAATCTTAGCAGTTTCCAACCTTTTCTTATTTTTTCCTCGTTCTCTTTACATCTCTTAGCAATTAATAAAATCAGTTTTTGGTGTCAAGAGACACTTGTGTTTTAGTTTTGCTCAAGGGAATATTCGAATCTGAAGTTCTTTCTGCAATATTTAAGCACATTGTAATGAGGGACCATGGAAAAGGTTGAAGGGTGGAAAAGTGGGGGGGGTGGTCTGGTGGGTCTGATGGTCCCATGGGGGTCTTTGGGCACAGGGGGGTTGGGAAAGGGAGGTGGCCCCCTTTTCTCCCAACTGACTGTGGGGTGCTGGGGCTGCTAGGTCATGTCAACAGTTTCAGTTCAGAGGAATTACAGAGGTGGGACTGAAGCACTTTTGTCCCCCAGGTTTTAAGGATGGCAAATCACATCTACTGACAGAAATTAAATATTTAGGGTTACAAATGATCAGACAAAAGATGTCCATCAGAATTATTTACTGCACAATAGAAACACTAAAACTACCAGTAGTACAGCATAAAATAGGACAGTGCTCTACACTAAAGCAATTGATGAAGCAATTCTACTCAAGATGGCATCAAGGCAAGAATTATGAATTAGAGAGGGATGGAACTCCCCCAGACCAATGTTCGTGGGGAGATCTCTGCTCTCAACCTCCAACACTGACCTT